TTTTTTTTTTCAATTATTATCATTTGTGCTAAAATTAATTAATCTATTTCATCTAGGCTTTTTTGCTCTCAAATTTGAATTTTTCAATAATGATAGACCAAGCTTCTTTATAACTAAATATCAAGAAACACATAGTTATTTATCAGTAAAATTTTATTTAGAAATTAATCCAAATTATTTTAAAAAAACAGTTTTTGATTAAGGAGAATATTGAATTAATTTTTGAATAAAAGGATATTCTTATAAATAAGAATAACATAATAATAATTAATCTAATTCAGGAATTTTGCTAGGATTATCAAAATAATAAAAGAATTTTAATTTCTTATTATCATCTTCTATGAAGTCATCTAAGTTTACATAATTTATTGAATCTTTGTTAAATGTTCTTAAAGTTGCTTATAGAATAATAATAACTAGTGCTTCTGATATTCGCATCATATTTTTATTAAGCATTATTTAGATCAATATACTCTCCTAGTAAATTTATAATAATTTCTCTCTATTATACAATTCCATAAACATTTCCTTCATTTTTTATATGTATATTGAAAAACAACTATAATAATAAAAATCATCATATTTACAATTCATCTCTGATATTTTATAGCAACTTATTTTATTTTATAATTTTCTTATGTGTTATTATTTATGAATAAAGCAGTAGTATTAAATTTAAGATACGAAATATTTCTCATTGTTGGTATCATCTTAAAACAGGAGGTAGTATTCCATTAATCTTTTCTATTTTAGATTGTAATATTTATTTCTATTTAGGATTGTCATTTATAACATATAAAATGAACCTATTTATATTTATTGAGGTATAATAAAACCAACTAAATTGTTTGATTTAATGAAATTGAATTAGATATAACAGTGTATATTTAATCTGAGTTTTTTGATCATCATAACTTAGATCATCATTCTAATCTGGCGTATATATAATTCTAAGTCCTGATTTTCCATTTGAATGTGAATGCCATAAATTAATAATTGGTATTGCCATGACAAAGTTTCTATTAAAAGCCAAATATTTAATCTAAACATTATAATTTTTTAGGGAGAAGTAGCATTAACAAAGATTTTAAATGCTAACACTAAATTGATGATATTACATGTTTTTGATTATTACGCTAATTAGAATAAATATCTACGGCAATTGTATTTTCGAAGATAAACTGAGAAGTTGATTGAAGGGTTATCTACAAAACCTGTTAATGTTATGTGTATCTGCAAGTATGTGAAGAGGAGAATATTTTACATATGTTAGTTAGCTCCATTAATACTCAATTGAAATAACCTAGTCGATTAAAATGCAAATATTTATAACAAAAACTAATTGATTAGTCTCTGAGCATTTGAAAGGATTGAGCTGACAAATCATATTTAATATTATAAAATATTTACGAAATAAATTAATTAATTACTGAACAAAACTATAAGACTTTTGGATATAAAAAATTAAATAGTTGCTGAGATCTTAAACTTTTAAAATCAATTTTTCTATCATAAATTCAATAATTCTATGTCTAAAATATTAGTTTCTGTCATCATTTAATTATAAGTTATTTAGTTAATAGAAATCTTTGTAACACTAACAGTTATTTTCAATTCTTGATGAGCTTAAATAGCTGAAATATATCTTGGAAAATAAAATATTGAATTGATATTACAGTTACAAAAATGAGTAAAAATCTCCTTCTTTTAAATCGGACAACTATTACATTTGTTAAATTAGCTTTTAATTTACTTACCCAATGAACATTTTATAATGACATTAATAAGAACTGGGGAAATTTACTTATCAACAATTACATTAAATGTACCAATTTAATCAAAAATTTCATTTGATTATGGCAATTCAGCAAATATAGTTGGTTTATTTTGTGCTTCTAAATCCTATTTTTAAGAAATTCTTATAGTATCTAGTTCTAATGGTAGATAAATTGTATTTATCACATAAGACATCCATACTCTTTAATGAGTATGCTTCACAAGAGTATCCCCTAAAATAAAAATTATTAGTTTTTTTACAGGAATTCACGGTATATTAAATAGTTGATGCAGTAGTTGTGTAAAGCCATCTAAATTACAAAAAATAGTTGTTTGGATAATTTAATCCAATAATAGATGTTAAAAACCATTTATCATTCTGTAAGTCGAAATTTTCACTAGTGTAAGATGAAGATGTAACTGTTTATAAGCCAAGAATATCAAAAATTTCATTTGTTCCAAGAACAATTTAATATCCAATTAATCGGATATTTCCAAGCTTTGCAGATGGATTAGATATATCAATAGTTACACTTGTTTTAGTTAAGCTTGATATCTCTATAAATGTTATATAAATACTGATAAAACAAACTCAAGTGCTCCAAATTAACCTAAGCTTGTAAGAAATATTATGCCCTTCTCTACGTTAGCATTTAAATGTGGATAGATTGTTGATTATATTGGATTAACAATATTAAATGCATTTATTACTTGGACTCTCTCATCATCGATTGCATACCATTTTAATTGAAGTCTAACATACACTATAGATGATGGACATACAATTTAGACCAAAAAATCTTGATGGTAAGATAAAATTACTCGTTAAGCTAACGTTTGTGATTTTTAATTGAAACTCACCATTTCCCTATTACCAATCAGCCAAATCTAATTGTAAAAAGACTTTAGGTATATTTTAAAATGTTCCTGAAAATGAAATCGTATTTGTTTGTTGGTAGGAGCTATGACAATTGAAATTACCGTATAATATAGTTTAAAGCCCTTAATCATATTTGATAACGCACCAAGCAGAAAATAATAAATGAATAATAAAAATCATTTAATTAATAATGTATGAAACAATATTTAATTATAATATTTTTAAAATTATACATTTCATTTATTTTTTCTACTACGAGAAATAAACTTTCTGGGTCTGGGTTTGGGTTTGCCCACTAGTAGGTTTCTGGGTTTGCCCACTAGTAGGTTTAATTCAGCAGTCAGGGTTTGGGGTTGGGGTT